TATAATTACCTTAACATTACCCACTTCATATGTATCCAAATAAAATAATCCTGGTTATTATTTTCCAAGATACAGTCCTGGAATATTCCTGGGTTATGTCAAAACAAGAGAGAGTCATGATAATCACAATATTGAACCTTTGTTGTTTAGAAAGGTCAAGTTTACTCTCTGCCTTGAACTTTAAAAAAAAGAGAGAGAAAGATGGAAAATGTAGTCTTGGCCCTCACTGTGACACCAACCTTGGATTTTGTGTCTTAGGATGGGGCTTTGAGTGAGAACTAATATAAAACCCCTGGTTGGCTAAGCATTCTGTCATAAAACAGATCCTACACTACAACAAGTTGTCTTATCCCAAGTATTAGTGTAATTACTCTAACTATATATGTGTAACACCTTTTAATACCCTCACCAGTACTCCAAACAATCCAGTAAGGAGTCTTCCCAAACACATCTTGTTTCTTCTTTGCTTTCTGCTTTTGTTCTAGCTCTGGGACCCATACTGCATGAAATCCTTCTCAGGAGTGTCTCTCCAAATTCCAGAGCTAGCCCTGAATACAATCTTTCCCTGGCTACATAACATCTGTCCTGTTTGCAATTACTCAATTACTTGTTCTTCACTCTTTTCTAGTGCATAATCATATATTGTCTTATTTTAAAACCATTTATTCTAATCACAATAATGCTTACCCAATATATACATTGTTTGTACTAAGTGCTGTGCTTAACACATGTAACCCTTAAAGCAATCCCATGAATCACAGTCTACCAAAATTCCCATTTTGTAGGTAAAGGAAAATAATTAAATACTAAGCAAGGATGTAACACTCTCTACTACTTAAGTAAAGCATGCACTCAAATCGAAAGCTCTCTCCAAAGACCTTATTCTTTGACATTGTGAAATATGACCTCATGCAAATGCCTGCTCTCCTCTACTAGACTGTAAGCTAAGGTCAAAGACAGTGGTGTCTTTTACTTCTTTCTAATACCCCACACCACTTAGCATAGGGTTGGGCAGGTTTTAAGAGCTCTGAGTGAGGGAGGCAAAGAGAATATGCCCATAATATTTCCTACAGTGTCCATTAAATGTTCTTTTGGGTCTTTATCTGTACCATACATACATTCTTAAAGGTCCAGTCAACTAAAGGCAGAAGCTTCTAGAAATGAAAGTCTTCATAAGAAGTCTCTATCTGTAAACTGGATTATGGTCAAAGTGGCAGGTTGCTTTTTGAAGATATTAGTTTCTCTTCTATTTTATACTTTATTAATTTTACTCGTCTGTCTTCTAGTGTATATTTTTTTAAATTTTACTCGTCTTTCTCCAAATCTTGCTGTAAACAGATGTCACTTTTCTTCTATTCTTTAAAAAGCTTACATACTTTGTTTTCACTAAGTGGACACATGTTTACAATGGAGACAAATAGAACATGCCTTTCTTTACATAGTAACCACAGTATTAAAAAACTGAGACATACACCCACTTCATTCTGTGTAGCAAAACTGCGATAAGGGGACAGAGCAGGACTGACTGAGGGCCCATCTCCACTACACACTTATGACTAGGAAGCCCCACAAAGAAAGAGCAGTAGAGATACTGGAAGGAGAAAAGTCATCTGAGAGCAAATTCAGAGAAAACTAACTTATTTTATTCATTTACAATTACTACCAAAGTGTCTCACTAGCTTCACAGCATTCCAGGAAAAGGAACAACGATGATACAAAAACACCCTTATCTACAACTGTGTTCACTTTTAAGTAATGTAACCACTCAAATACAGACAGGGTTGACTGCAGTTCTGCATCCGGATGTTGGTAACACTGATAATTCAACCAAGCATCTGCCGCATGTCTTAAGAGTCAGCCAAGCCATTAATGGAATTGCATTCCTACCAAAGAGAGTTGAGGCAGAGGGTAGGTCCGCCACTCCTAATAAAACCTACGTTCCCAAAACTGATTCAGATGATTAACTGTATCAGCTCTTCATCAAATCAGCATTCAATCACTTTGCAAGGTAACTCTCTTCATCTCAGCTCCTACTTTTACATTCCCATAAAATGCAACAATGCATATTCCACTACTGACATATAATATTTAAATGAAAAGAAAAAAATCAATAATTTGCTCCCAACATCATATCTAACTGGCAGCTTCACTGAATCCATGTGAATTCAGTCCCTCCCCATACACTCATTAAACTTAAAATACTGCTATTCTAAGGATATTAAGGTTTTGGGGTTTTGTTGGTGTTTTTAAAGGAGAAGAGATATGGCAAAATACAAGCTTCCAAACACTCCATTTCTGACTTATACTTATATTGTTTTTGGAGCTTTGTGAAACGCTGAATACACTAAACATTCTGAGGTATGGTTGTTCCACCATGTATAAATAAACTTTTCAGCAGCAATGCTTGCAAAAAGGAAGTCTGAAGAATTACTATTAATATATATAATAGAAGGAGTTAGAGTGCAAGCTAAATAAACCAAAGTGAAATATATCATTTATCGAACGTAAGTGGTGCAAAACCAACTGAAATTTTAAATTGTTAATAATGGTCCCGGAGCTAATTCAACTTTTCCACTGGTGTAAGCCACAAACAGAATTACACAGTATGTTTCTCTTCAAAGATCTCTACAATTCCTGTAAGATGGCTGAGAAAGGCTAAGAGTACCTGTTAAAGGCTATAATGCACCTAATGCTATTAAAATGGTATATTTATAAGCCTGTGGAGTATAACCTCATTACTCCAAAAACTATCCATTGTCCTCCTTTAGAAGTTAAACCATAATGAACAAAAGTGTATCTCTTCCACCCTTCTGCTCCCTGTTTTCCCTGCTCTATCTACCTTAGTGTTCTGTATGCTGACCAAAACATTCCATAAATAATGCTATGGGGCAAACACATTAAAGTTTAGAGAGTTTTTGCCTCTGAAGGAGATAGTGACAGAACTAAGGACACACAGGTTCAATTCCAAGTCAAATATTAGGCGGGTGGTTTGAAAATATCCATCAAAAGAGGCCTGGGGGAAAAGGATACAAGCGTCCACTGCCTCCACCCTTCCTCTCCCCTCCCCTCTTCCTCTCTTGTTCTCTTCCTCTCTTCTCTTCTTTCCTTGGGGTTTCTCACAGAGACTATCAAAGCAGGGAAAGCTGCTAATTTAAAATTAGTGAGACACATACTGGAGATATGTAACTCCCAGGAGGAAAAAAGAAACTGCAAAAAAGGGATGTGGGGGTTTGTTGGCAACATGTTTAAGTGACAGTCTTCCCCACCCCCACCCTAATACTGCACAAATCCAGATTCTTTCCCTAACCTCTTCTCCTTGCAGGTCCCAGTACTCTATCCAACTTGACCCTGAATCCGAATAATTTAGGGACCTGCAGGGCATCCGCTGTGCAAGAGTGTATCTCTCGGTATATGTGCCCAATTTTCTGGAAGCCCCTGAATCCGGACAGTTGTAACAAGCAAGGGATCTCCCACAGGGTAAGGGGTGAAGAAAGGGGAAGGGGGAGAGATGGAGCCGAGAGGAAAGGATGCAGAGCAAAGCTTTAGGGCGAGTGGCTGAAAGGAAGACAGGGAAGAAAGAAAGGGTGGGAAGGAAGTGGGGCTGGAAGAGAGGAAGAAAGGGATGAAAGAAAGGCTGGAAGAGAGAAAGGAGGGGAGAGGAGAGAGGGATGTTGGGAAGGATGAGGGCGGGAGGGTTGGGGAGCGGGGAGGGAGGGGAGGCTGGAGAGGATGGGAGGGAGGCAGGGAGGGAGGGAGGCAGGCAAGGATGGAGGATGCTCTGCCCAGGACTCACCTCTGTGGGTCGGTGGGAGTTTCTCGCCTCCTCCTCTTTTTCGCCCGTTCCCAACAGCTGGAGGGGTAATCACAGAAGGGGCTGGAGAGGCGGCGGCGCGGACGAGGGCAGCAGCTGCTGCAGCCGCCTCTGGCCGAGGTGCGGTGCCTCCTGCTCCGCCCGCCAGCCCGGGTCTCCGCCTTACTCTGGGCTGGAAGCGAAGCCGCTCCCCCCTCCCCCCGCCCGCCCCGCGCGTCCTGCCCAAGCGCGAGCAGCAGCGGCCCGGATCGCCGCTAGGGGAGACGGCCAGTGCGCAGGCGCGGCCGCCTGCTCGCTGGCGCGCCCCCGTGGTCCCCGCGGCTCCGGGGGCCTGGAGGAGGCCAGGGGTAGGGGGCGACGTGGGCGCGCACGGCCTAGGGAGCGCCGAGCGGGAGGGGCAGGGGCGGAGCTGGGGAGGCGCGGCTGGCTCCACGCCTCAGGTGGGGGGAGGGGACGATGGCGAAGGGGCACCGCGGAAGGGCGCAGGTGCCGTGTCCATGACAACCGCGTTACCCTTCGGGCGGGGACCCGGAGCTGACTAGCTGGAAGCCGCCGGGATCGGGTACTGACAGACCGAACTGGAGGGGTCCTGGGGAGGGCGGCGGGAGAAGGGGACAGGGGGTGCCGAGTGGGAAGAAATGGTGAGCCCAGAGACGGCACTAACGCCTGGCTGGAGGGCTGGGCCCAAGTGCAGCGAAGGTAGAGACTGGCACGGGATGTAGGTTTGTTGGGACCCGGAGTACCAAGGGGAGGAGGATTGGACTTTAAAATAGGACCTGGAAGATGGAAGTGTTAAAACAGATGCAACACTTGCTCATTTCATGAGCCTTTGTTAAGTGCTGTATATGTGGAAGGCGTTCTAATTCTTTTGATTCAAAGAATTATTACTAAGCCCCTAATTTGCACCAGCCACTCTACTTAAGCATTTCAAGATACCAAAAAATGTTTAATTTCTGGTGTTTGTCCTCGCGGAGATTACACTTTAGTTGGGGAACTTAGCAGAGAATGTAAGGGGTGTATGCTCTGCCCATCACCATCAACTGGGGCTGAATGAAACTGTTACAGAAATGCCAGAATCGAAGAAGGTACAGGCTACATCAAATACGAAACATAAGTTACAGTCATCTTTGTTCTGCTACAATGCCAAGTGACATTTATTTTATTTTATTTTTTTATCAAGAGAGAAAAATAAAGACAAACCCTATGGCAGTTTTGTTAAGACAAAAGTGAGGCTGCATTCACAACACGCTATTTGTCTGGTCTGCTGGCCCATCAACATCAATGTGTTCATTCATGCCAATGTACGTACGACCTTATATCACTTGGTACACGCATTTTTTAACTCCTTTTTTGGCTATGCCAGCTATGTTATATACCCTTCTCTTCCTAAGATGGCACGGGCCGTTGTTTGAAAATATCAAAGCCATGCGTCTTATTCTGTCCAAGCAATGGCTAGAAAGCTCTATCTCTATCCATTCATTTATCTTTTTCTTCCAAAATCTTCTTGCCTTACATTTTCCTTGTCACCACCACTTTACCACTTTAAAAATTCCTGGGAGAAAGTACACAGGAGTCAACAGAGTACACTTTAGAAAAACCTCCTTAGCCAACAACGATGTTTCAGGACCACGGACAGTGACACTGCATGTTCCCCTCCCCAAGCCTTTTCCTTATGCTCAGCCTATAGAAACAGTGGAGACACTACAGAAGATACAGGATGTGCTTCAAGAAGTAAACGGTGAACACCAAATGACCTGTGCCAAAAGATAGGAACAGACTGGAAAGAGGAAGAAGCATACCATGAACTGGAGTCGGTAGGAAGGAAGTAGGTCCTTCAGCTAGACTTGAAGAAAGAAGAGGTAACATGCAAGGAGACATCACAGAGCCCTAAAGTGGTAAGAGGGGGAAAAAGTTAGCCAGGGAGGTGTTTGAATAAAAATAGGGATACTTAATAGTACTACTGCACAGTATCTTCTTGAAGGCAGAGTAAACCTCTGATTTAATTGGTATAAGAATATGGGAAGAATAAAGTAGTCCCAGTTAAATAAGGTACAATACTATCTCAAGGACTGGCACATTTTTGTTATTACTGTGAGTTTTCATTCTCTAGTCAGGCTGGAGGAGTTAAATCTAAAAATACAGACCAAAGAGTTATTAGATAAGTTCACCTCTTTAACACTGAGAGGATTCATTTATAGGTTTGTAAATTGTTTTAAATCAGGCTTAAATTTACAATTCTGTTCAATTGACAACAGAAGGGGAGGAAAAGCTAATGTAGATCCAGTGTTGACTTGTCAAAATGAGATTTGCCTCATTACTGTTTTGTACTGACTTTCAAAATATATGGATATTTTTAAAGTTTCTCTATGTTGAGAGAAAAAGAGAGAGACAGACAGAGAGGCAGACAGAGAGAGAGAGAGAGAGAGACAGAGAGAGAGAGAGAGAGAGAGAGAGAGATTGAGAATCCCAAGCAGGCTCCATGCTGTCAGGAAGGAGCCCAACTTGGGGCTCAATCTAATGAACCATGAGATCATGCCCTGAACCATAATCAAGAGCCAGAGGCTTAACCAACTGAGTCACCCAGGGACCCCAAGAAATTATTACTGAGAAATCTTTAAAAGTCATTTGTCAAATACTTATAAGGTTTTGTCTGTGCAATTGCTTTAGAGCTGATAAAAAAATAGAATAAAAGCCATCCTTTATTTCTTAGACCCTTGACCTCCTCTCCCACTCTTCCTTCAAAATACACCAAACTGTTGTCTGTCAGTCAGATAGTGATAAGAAATTATCCAAGCAATGCATTTAAGTTCCCCAAAGGCAAATGGCAACTGAGATTTTTGTTTCCTACCTCCAAAGAGTTTACTAACTCTCTTATGTTGTAGATGAAGGGGAATCGTCACCCCTACTTTTCCCAATGGAAACATGCAAATTGAGTATGATTTTAGCTGTATTTATTTTTCTCTGTTAACAGTCTAAACACCCTTGTATACTAGATATCAAAAGGCTATAATTTTATTTGTCCTCATTCTAAGCCAAGGGGATACTTCTTTTTTTTTTTTTTTACCTTTATTTCTTTTGTTTTGAGACTTTGTGAAAATGTCTATTTCCAATATTTTTGATTTAAGTGTTGTCCTTCATTTCAATGACATGAACAGATACAGTCCTCACCTCAGAAAAACAAGCAGTTTCCCTTCCTGCATTCATATTAAAGATTTATACCAACATAGACAACAAAAAGTTTATTAGTGTGTGCTAATGGAATAATATTGTATAAAATTAAAATACAATTTAACCTGTAATAACATGACATCTAGATTTGTGGAGTAGACTCCAATACTGACAATTCGAAGTAAAATTATTCCTCAAGCTTATACATTTAAATGTTAGGTCACTACACATTGGAAACCTCATTCAGTCTGTTAGCTCCTGAAATTTCTCTATCAAATCCTCCTGAGCAATTCATGTTTAAATAGATAGCGGTTTTAAGTTCACAGCAAAATTGAGCAAAAGTACAGAGCTTTTCTATATACCTCCTGCTGCCACATAAGCAAACCCCCTCCCCTATTATTGACATCCTGCACCACAGTGTTACACCGAACCTACACAATGAACCTACACTGACACATTATCACTCAAAGTCCATAGTTTACATTAAGGTTTTCTTCTATACATTCTATAGGTTTTGTCAAATGCATAAATGACACGTATTCACCATTGACGTATAGAGAATAGTTTCATTGTCCAAAAAATCTATACTCTGCCTATTCATCTTTCCCTCCATCTTAGCCCTGGCAACCACAGATTTCTTTTTACTCTACCTATAGATCTGCCTTTTTCAGAATATCATATAGTTAGAATCATACAGTATGTAGTCTTTTCAGATTATTTCCTTTTACTTAGTAAATATGCATTTAAGTTTCTCACTGTCTTTACAGTTTCAGAGTTCATTCTTGTTAGTGCTGAATAATATTCCATTGTTTGGTTTTACCATAGTTTATATAGCCTCCTACTAAAGAATATCTTGGATGTGTCCAACTTTTGGCAAATATGGATAAAGATAATATAGACATTTTACTTTTAGTAATCTTCTAAATATCTTAGATCCTCTTACAATATTTATTACATATGTGTCATGCCCCAGAATTTCTTCTTATATGATTCAGCTTGTTCTCACAACCTAAGCAGATTTCATCTCTGTCTAAAATATATCAATGAAACTCTCTGTTGTTCTTATGTACTCCTTTCATTATTTTTTAAGTTTATTTATTTATCTTTAGAGAAAGAGAGAAAAACAAGCACAGGAGGGGCAGAAAGAGGAGAGAGAGGGAATCCCAAGCAGACTCCACACTGTCACCACAGAGCCCGATGTGGGCTCCATCTCACAAACTGTGAAATCATGACCTAAGTCAAAATGAAGAGTTGGATGCTCAACTAACTGAAGCACCCAGGTGCCCCATGTACTCTTTTCATTATTAAAAAGCAAACAAACAATAACTTATTTCAGAATTCTTGTTTTCTACCTATTCTATGAGCTCAAACTTTTTTCAAACATATCTATTATTCGTAAATTTCTATCCTGAGTTACATGTGTGTGTATACTGAATGGTGTGTTTACTTTTTTTACACACACACCATTTTTATGTTTACAAGTAAATATAATGAATGCTTTAGGAAACACATATGTAAAGTCTCTACTTTTTCATCTTGAAACATTTCAACTGTAACATTATATAGATAGAATTTGGTAGGCAAAATAATGGGCCCCTAAAGATTTCCATGGCTGCTCCCTTGAATCTATGAATATATTATGTTACATGGCAGAGGGAATTTTGCAGATGTGATTATAGTTAAATAATTTGAGAAAGGGAGATTATCCTGCATTATCCAGATAGGTTCAATACAATTACATGTCCTCTTAAATGTGGAGAATCTATAGGGCACATGGATGGCTCAGTTGATCAAGCACCAGATTCCTGATTTTGGCTCAGGTCATGATCTCATGATTCATGAGATGGAGCCCCACCTAGGGCTCCTTGCTGAGAGCATGGAGCTTGCTTGGGATTCTCTGTCTCTCCCTCTCTCTCTGCTGTACTCTCTCCAAATAAATAAATAGACTTAAAAAAAAATAAGAAGCGGAGAATCTTTCCTTGACTAGAGTCAAGATACATATTAAAGAGATGAGACAGCAGGAGAAGAGTCACAGAGATTCCAAGCATGGGAATGACTTAAATGGTTTTGCTGACTTTGAAGGGAGCTATAAGCCAGAAAATAAGGGCAGCCTCTAGATGCTAAGTGTTCTTAGTACTCCTGGTCAACAGCCAGCAATGAAACAGACCTCAGCCCTAGAACTATGTGGAAGTGAATTGTGCCAACAATGTGAACAAGCCTATAGATGAATTGTTCACTAGAGCCTCCAGAAAGGAACACAGACCTGCCAACACTTTGATAGCAGTTCTGTGAAACTCTAAAAAAACAAACCAGTTTAGCCCACTAGACTTCTGAATCACAGAACTATGGGATAATAAATTTGCACTGTTTTAAGCTGCTAAGTTTGGGGAAACTTAGTGATGGAAAACTAATGTAAAAATTCCATATCAGTTACCTTAACTCCAAAAAATAAAGGAGCTTCACTGAATGGCACTTATGAGTGCCTTTAAATTCCTGTATTACCATATTCTAGTTTGTGATACTGGGCAAGTTACTTGATGTTTATAAGACTTAGTTTCAAAGTGGTGGCATTTTTTAACTATATCCATTTTTTGTGAGAAATAAATGAAATAATATGTGTCAAGTTTCCAGCACCCTGTTTTCCATAAGAAGATGTTGTATGCTTCCTTTAGTTAATATTTCTAATATGAGTAAGTGAAGCAGGCATGAAAATAAAAATATTCCTTTGTATATTTTGACTATTTAGGATTTCATTCCATTATCTTTTATTTCCAGATTATCTTTCAAAAAAGATAAAATAGGCCATAATATCTTCTCATACTAAGTATGTCACTTCCATCTTTAGTTTCCCTAATAGACCTACTTTCCCTTAGAAAAAAACTAAGGCTAATTGCTTAATGTACTTCAAAATTGTATCCTTTTACCCACAACTGTTACCCTGGAACAACATTTTCCAAACTCTGCTCTAAGGAGGAATATAATTCCTGTCTGCATTTTTTCAGTAGCAAGTAACTGTAATCCAAATTAATTTAGTATGAGCAAAAGGGAGATTTTGGTTTACAGATCTGAGAAGTCTAAGATGTGTCTTAATGAGACTCAGCTAAATCCAGGAAGTCATCAGAAATATTAGTTATGTTGGGGGCACCTGAGTGGCTCAGTTGGTTCAGTGTATGACTTTGTCTCAGGTCATGATCTAACAGTTTGTGAGTTTGAGCCCCACATCGGGATTGCTACTGTCAGCACAGAGGCCACTTCAGATCTTCTGTGTTCCCCTTCCTCTGTCCCTCCCCCACTTGCACTCTATCTCTCTCTCAAAAATAAACATATATATGTGTATATATATAATATGTTGAACATATATATGTATATATATAATATGTTAAGCATATATGTGTGTGTATATATATATAATATGTTAAGCATATATATATGTGTGTGTGTATATATATATATATATAATATGTTGAAGGCTCTGATTGGGCTTGATGGGGTCTTGTTCATATATGAACAGATTCCTATGACCAGAGAAATAGGATATTCTGATTCAAATGCCCACTCCAAGGCTATGTGCAAGAGGATGAGAATTACCAAAAAGGTTTTGAGAATGGCATGGGAAAGCATATAGCTCCAACTAAAATTACAGCATCCCAGACTATTTTAAAAGTGATTTCTACAATGAAATTGTATTGGTAAGTGCCAGGTGAAACACATTTTAAAGGTTTCCTTC